TGTATTTCGATGAGACGACGAGTAGAAAAGCATGATATATCGATTGCGATTGATATTTCGAGGGGTCATTTTTCTAGGTATGTGCCTGCAGATATAACTCATCGAAATATCTATTGCATTCGATGTACGATGCTTTTCTACTCGTCGCCTCATCGAAATACACTAATTGTGAAAGTTTCGCATAGATCGGACCGATGATAGCGGAGATACAGTCGAAATTATAAATGTCGTTGAAACGAGGTTTCGAGAATAATGAAATATTGGTGCCAAATGTAATTGAGAACGACGCGTCGCGTCTGTACGAACAATCACTCAGAATGGCAGCGCTTAGTCTCGACGAGAAATAATTATTTCCCAACTTGATACTTGGAATCGTAAAATTTCAACATCTGATTGAGCCCGAAACATTATTTCTCGTCGAGACTGAGCACCGCCACGCTCGGTAATCGCTTACGTTGACATTTCGCGTCGAACGCGTCAACAATCGGCACCAATATTTCATTATTCTGAAAAACTCAATTTTGAGAGATTTCTTACTTGGATCGTATCTCCCTTGCGATCCGTCGGATCTCTGCGAAACTTACGCAATTAGTGTATTTCGACGAGACGACGAGTAGTGATGCATTACATAATGACATTTATTGATATTTCCATCACTCATATTTCGAGGTATCAGTATATTATTAGCATAGCTTGCGCCGAGCATCAGATACGCGTACCAACTTTCTTTTTTAGTTAATTTTTTTCGACGATGCTAATTGACTTTTACGGGATATATTGTTAAAGAGATATTAATGTTTCGAGATCGGCGAAGAAACGTGTAATGTGTATCCGTCCGCCTACTGCTGGCGCTGAATGCAGGCGCCCCTCCACTCGTGCACCGCCCCACCGCTCGTCGACGGCACAAGCGGCTGGTAAGCGCGAGCAGCGGTGGGACGGTTGGGTCTCGGCGAGCGCATGCATACAGCGAGAGCGGTAGACGGACGGCAACGCGCTTCTTCGACGATCTAAAATTAATGATATCTCGTCAACGGTTGCGAATTTTGAAAAACGG